CAGTCCAAATTATAAAGAAAGTATCTATGTTTCTAGCTAAATTGAAATGAAAAACAATCTGATAGGAAAGCTTTTCTATGCACCATAAGCTGAAAAAACAACATGGAAGAATGAAAATACCAGCATTTGCTTCTTTGAAAAGTGGTTATAATGTGCCCAGCATGGGATATGGCTGTGACATATTTATAGTTTTTGAGTTGATTTACAAAGCCAAGTATGTTTTGCTTCTGGTTTCAAATGATTCAGATAAAGCATGCTTGAATTCATGACTATTGGAGGAAGGGCCATTTAATCAATACAGTTTTCTAAATACTTGTAAGTATGGATTTAGCATAAGCTGTCACATGGCAAACACAGGTTTTAACAGCTGTATTTTTGCAAAGAGAGATACCCTTATTGTAGCCGAAATCTTACTGAAACAAAGACATTAAAGCCAGGATGAAGTTGCTGTTAGTCTGGCACTGCTGTGTGTGTCACGGTGCCTGGGGCTGCCACTGGTGACTGCGGTGGCAAGTGGGCACAGAGTGGCTCCCAGGAGCCACCTGATTTCAGTTCACGCTGTTAAACTCCGAATCAGCCCTGTGCTGTGTTCCTGGTGTGGTGTCGGTTCAAATGCTGGCAGAATCGCTCAGCTGTGCTGCTGGGGATGGGCCTCTGTGCCAAAAGAAGCTGAGACTGCCCCGCAGACTGTGGGCAGGTGTCTGCCTGTTGTCGAGGGCCTGCATCCCCCTCTGAGCTGGGGCTGCTTGAGAGGCTCTGGGGCTGGCCTGCAGGCTCAGCTCAGGGGTCCTGGAGCCAGCCAGGATGAGCATGGAGTCCCACAGGCATTCTGGTGCTGGAGGCATTGTCTGCAATGGCTAGGTATGTGAGAGGCTGCCAAGCACAAGAGTGCCTGGATCGTGATGCAACATTTTGAAGTATGAACTGACCAAAACATCTTAATTTGTAATATCCTGTTCCTTTCTGTAATCCGATTTCTGTTATTTCTCAGATCTGGCTATTGGCAGAGTCCTGGAGAGTTCTCTGGGAAGTAGCAGAGTGCCTCCCAAGTGTGTGTGCTTTGAGACAGTTGTCTCTCTGTGGTCATTGCAAAATTTTAACTCCAGTGAAACAATGTCTTTCTCTAACTTTATTCTGGAAAACAGCTCACTTGATTTAATTATTACCTCTCCATTGGTGAAGAATAAGAAACTGAAAACTGTAGTAATATGAAGCTCTGGACAGCTACACTTGTGAATATTGCTGCTCCTCGTGCCTGTAACAAAATTACACGGGTCCCTTTGGTTGCTGCTTTGCTGTTCAAGCACACAGTTCCAAACCTGCTGTCTTTTGGCAGTGAAATGGTGCAAGGTGACCCTGCTCCTGTCTGTTTGTCCCATCTGCTGACACAGTTCACTGCTTTGGTTGTACAAACACATCTTCCAGTAAGGTCATGCTGTAAACTCAATCAGAGATGCCATCTCGGTTGCGATTTTCTTTTTATTAGTCCGTTTCCTCGTTATATTTTAATTCAGATTTCTAAGTGGAGCAAAGCAGTCATCCAGTCCTGTGATTAGACATGTGATTCTTGTAACATCTATAATTATGCCTCCAGTAAATGGTCTTTTTCATTATCTGTGTTCAGTTTTTAGGTATTACCCTTGTTCTCCAAGGTCTAGGACCAAAAGTGGAGGAACAAAACTGTGCAAGGGATGATAAGAAGCCACTACATTTTGTTCTGTCCTCTCCTTGTATTTTTAAGTTTGTGAACTGCAGTGAACTCCTAGCTTGGGCACTAAGATGCACATTTGGAGCGTGCTGCTAAGCAGTTATAAACTAATGGATGAAAATATTTTTCTATTTATTATTTTACAGGTAAAGTCTATGGACTTGACAGATTGTTTTTGCAGCTTTGCTGTAGATTTGATCTGAGATCTTGTGTAGGCAAACATTCTTTGTTCTTCATTTGCAAAGACAGAATAGTAATGGATTTCCCCCAAATGGAAATTCCATGTGGTCACCCATTAGCGCCTGTGTGGTGCACAGGACCTTGATGATTAACAAGCACCTGTAGAGGGAGAATGCACATCCCAGAGGTGAAGGTGCCTCTTTCTGCATTCTCCTTTTATTCATGCACTTTTATCTTCAGTGTCTTGCTAAATATAAAAACTATCGTTAAAAGTTGACATAGTGCATCATCTTCCGATTGTCAAAATACATTTTACCTTCCTGAGCACCTACAATATACAATATACTACTATTCTACAATAGTAGAAGCACACTAGCACACTGCTGATGGATGTAGATGGTCTGGATAGGATGCACTTCTGGGTTGAAAACAACAGTTAGCAGTAGAACCTCAAGAGCAGTTCAGTTTAGTACCTGGGGTGTTTTGTAAAAACCCAAACATGCAACTGTCAGAAGTCGCTGTTGCATGCACAGAGGTGCGGTGTCTGCCTGAGCAGAGAGCTCACAGAAGAAACTTCCGTGGCCGTAGAGGACCTGGGAAGGCTGCAGCTTAAGGGATGTGCATGGGCAGAGGGTACTGGCACCATGGAGGTGGGCATGGGCTCATCATTGACATGGGCTCAGCTCTGTTGTCAAGGATCTTGCTGAGACTGTCAGACCTGTTCTTGGGTACTGGGGTTTAGCATGCATGGAGCATCGTCTGTTGGGTTAGGTTAGCATCATCTGCTAAATGGCTGTTGGAAGGAGAAGGGACATATGGACAAACAGGAGTTGAAAGAACAGGGTTCAATCTGCACAATTGGGTGACAGTTGAGAACAGACATTTTGGGATCACATCCTGGAGGTGGTCGTGGAGTGGTCAGTCTGTGCTGTTGCTGGCAGGTGGCTTTGAGCCTCTCCAGTGTTACTGTACTTGTGCTGGTGGAATAGTAAAACAGGAGAAATATTTTGCTTTTAGTTACTTATGAAACAGGAAGGAATCTGGGGGAGAAGCAACACCGAGTAGCAAGGGTCAGGGAGGTGTCTGGCCATCAGAAATGGGCAGTTGCACATGCCCATTTGTGCTGTGGGAATCAATTATACTGTGGATGCACATTTCCAGCTCCTTCGGCTTCGGGTGACCCATGTCTGGGTGTCACTGTGGACATCTGGAGTGAGCCGCTTGAGTACTGGTATGCATATTGTGGAGCTGCACCACTGCAAGGTCTTGCCTGAGCTAATAATCTCTGATGAGATGGAGTTAATGTTGCAGGGGGTGCACTACAATGACCAGAACTTTACATATGTGATCTGGCTTGTTTTATGGCATGGGTCTGTGGTGCCAATCTTAGAAAACGTATGCAAAGAATGTTTGGCTTTGCACACTAACTAAACACAGAGAGAATATGGTTAACCAGGTAAACAGCCCAGCATGAATTTGCCTCATCTTTTGAAAGTCTCAGTTTGGTGATACTTTCTGTATAACTTCTTGCCGTGGTCTCCTCAGCATGCAAGACAAAGAGCACAGGTGAATTTTACAGGTCCCAAGTTTGGGGATTTGCAGTGTCCTCTGTAGAATTGCTTCTAAATGTATTAACTTTTCCCCTTAGAAAATTAAACTTTGGCAGAAGCAAAATATTGCACAAGATAATGCATAATGAAATTTTGTTTAGAAGGTCATTGAAAACAATCATAAATGTTTCTGCATCGTGCTTGGTATTTTCAGATTTTTTTTCAACTGAAAGACTTCAAAATGAAATTTGAAGTGAAACACTTTGGAATTCATTTTGTTTCATAAAAGATAACATTCTTCTGTGTCAAATAAAGGAAAATGTTGAATCTTGAGTTTTTTCACTGTGTGGAAAATCTGCTCTGCTCAGAAGCATTCAGCCAGCAGTGCAGTGTTTCACAGGAGCTACAGCTATTCCTTGATTCTTGATTGCAGGTTGGCTGGTTGGCTAGAGCATTTCCCAAAGTCTTCCCTCAGCTGATTGCACACTATTTTTGCTATGTCAGGCACTTTCTAGACTTCCTTTCCTAAAACTGGCTGCTTCAAGGCTTAATTAAAATCAGCTAAAAGAAAAATAAAAACAAACAAATGAAAACCAACCTGCAATCAAAGATCTGAAAAACTGGACTGGAAATGAGTATTTTCACATTGTATTTTGTCCAAGTGCTATCTGCCTGCCTGGCAGAGCTGCAATTTCTAGAGTCTAGAAATTTAATAAAAGGATATGTTCATCAAGTGTAGCTATCCAAAAGAGAAAAAAAAAAAAAAGAGGAAAAAAACAGTAACCTACAAACAGCCAGGCAGACTTAAAGGAGTCTTTTGAGCACTCAGTCCCCTCAAGAGAACAAATTTATGTCTCTGGCCAAAGACAGAAAATTACACCAAGAATAAAACAGGATTTCACAGCAGAGAGTGCAACAGCCATACCCATTACACCATACAATAATAGTCGGTGTTTGAGTAGCTTGATCTTTCTCGAGTATTTCAAGTTCAACAGGCAGACAGATGATACAGCCTCAAAATGATTTACAAGAGAAGATGCAATGCTGCAGTGAGACACAGACCCAAGTGTGCTGTGCCGACATTGGTGCTGTTTAGTGGGTGGCTGGCACTGCACTTTCCATAGCCAGCTCCGTGCTGCATGGTTGCCAAATGCCTTGATAGATGTCTGGTGAAGCATCTGTGTCACAGGCATGTACAACGGGTGCCTGCCCTCATGGTGTTTGTGAACAGAAAGTGTGCCTTAGCAGAGCGTTGTGGTATGGGCAGAGGGTGGCTTCCTTGGGACGGTCCAGCAATCCCCAGTCTTGAAGAGTGGGTAGGAAGGACTACATTCCATGTGGACTTATGCCATACCCTTAAAGAGAGTATTTGCCTTGTAGAGAATATAGTCTCAGGGACCTGGGCATGAATAAGTGCCCTGGCTTCTAGTGGGTGCTGCACCATTATCCTTGCTGGTTGCCTTGGATCTCCTGAATGAGGATATTCCTCTGGTGGCTTTTTTCTTCCCATTGGTGTGTTAACACTATGTGTTGTATGTTTTCCTGGGGTGTCACGGCTGCAGGCAAATCTGAAGAAGTTCATGGAGTACGTGCAAATGCTGAATGCGGAGAAGGTCTGCAGACTGCTGGAGAAGGGACTGGACCCCAACTTCCATGACCCGGATACTGGAGGTGAGATTGGCCTCTTCAGACGGGGGATGATGACAGGGCAGGGTTGGGGGAAAACATGTCCAGGGGATGCAGTGGGAATTTGTGGGATTGGTTGTTCTTGAAGAGGCATAACGAATGATAATTTGTCTGAAATGTGAAAGTTTGGAAGAGAGGTATGTAAGCTGGATTTCTTAGTAGTGTGTCCTGTTATGACACTTGGGTCTTGGAGGTCTTGGGAACATGAAGTTACGGAAGGTGCTTGGCAGAAGAGTGTGTATGGGGAGGGAAAGATGCATAGTCTGGGAATATGACATAAAATGAAAGAGCTGTGGGGCTGTGCATCTTTCAGAGTCGGATTCAGCGGAGGACAAAGCTTTCTCTTGGACTGGCGTATTGGGTGAACATAAAATTTCTTCATGAAGCTGTCAGAAGGTTTAAGAAATGTTTTGGAGGTCAATAAAATAAAATCTTGGCTTCTGGATGCCTCATTTTTTAATTTTTATCTTTTATGCACCTCAGATAGGTCAGGCCTTTGGAGCACAGGCTGTCAGGTTGTCTGCAGGATCCTGGGTGTAAAGAATGAGAATCACAATCCCATGCATTTTCCTTAAGGACAGGATCATGAGGGAGGATTCTCATGAATTGAACTTCTTTGTGTGAATTACGGGCACGTTGCCAAACCATGAGCAGGCTCTAATTTGATGATTAATTTTCTGTGTTTCCAGTTCAGTTCAATGGCTTTTTAGGTTGTTTCTGACATTCAGGCTACCTCTGTAGCAGGAGTTCTAGTGTGTCCAGAGTGTTGTTCCATACCAAGATCAGCTGGCACAGTCTGCTCTCATGCACACTGTTAACCTCTCTTATCTTCTCAGACAACAGGGCTGCACCCAAACTGCCCCTTGAGAATGGCTCTTGGCCTCTGCCAGCTCTTCAAATGGAAAGGTGAAAGTTGGTTTAGCCAAACTCTGGCAAGAAGCATTCAAACAGCACACAGTAATGTTTGTGTTGTGTAATTTGCTGGTGTAGCCACTCTGTCTGATCCTGCTGAAGTGTCCTGGTGAACAACTGCTTATATGAAGAATAAACCGTTAGTAGTATACAAGCATGATTGCTGTTTGCCCTGGAGCATGCCCAAACAGCTCAGCTCTATTTCACTTTCATTTTAGCCCAAGACCTTTCAAGCATTTTGAGTGATGTTTCTTTAAAAAGAAAGTCCTACGCTCTTCTAAAGCTGATTCAGCTTTCTGAAATATATTGCAGAGTGCAGTGTGCTTGAGGAGATGATAGAATCATAGAATGGTTTGGGTTGGAAGGGACTTTAAAGATCATCCAGTTCCTACTCCCTGCCATGGGCAGGGATACATTTCAGTCGATCAGGTTGCTCAAAGCCCCATGCAATGGGGCTGGTAAAGTTTAGGATGCTGGAAAAGTTTTGGATCTGATGTTATTTCACAAAAGGGTGGAGGTTTGTAGGAACAGACTCTTGCATGCTGCAAAGACTCTTAAATACAGAGTGGGAGGAAGGAAAACAAAACATAACAACAAACCACCTGATCCAAATAGTTATTTTGTTCCAGTTCAGAACTGAAGGCAAAACTGGATTTTATGAGATGTGAAAACAGTGTTGGAGCAGAGGGAGTCTTGGACACTTTATTTTGAGCCCTAATTCTCGTGCAAAACAACTTTATTACTGCTTGCTTTACAATCTGTTTTGTGAGCGTGACAGAATGACATAAAACTGCTGCTTCAGTATTCATGGGTATCTGGAATTTAAGACCAGATGGAGCTATTATACCGTCCGACCTGACCTCCTGCATCTCATCGGATCCTCATCACCTTGTGTGTGTGTGTTCACTAAGCAAAGCTTAAACATATTTTCCAGAAAGTCATCAATCTTGATTCAGAGAATAGAGGATCCGTGCTGATCTTTCGTTATTTGGTTAATCACCCTCACTGTTTAAAATTCGTACCTCATTTAAATTTGTATGCTTCAGCTTCCAGCTGTCGTTATACTTTATCTTCTAGATTGAAGAGCACTTTAGAACCTGGTATGTCTTCACATGAAGGTATTTGTACATGGTAATCAAGTCAACATTCAATCTTCTCTTTCCTAATTAAAGAGGCCAAACTCCTTTAGCCTTCCATTGAAGGTATTTTTTCCAGTTTTCCTGTCACTTTTGAGGTTTACCTGTTACTGCTCCATTTCTAAGAGGTTTTTAAGAAGGCAAGCACCAGACAACCTGCTGTCTGTCTGCACCATTCATCATGGGCATGGTGCCGTTTTCCCTGCGGGTCCTTGCTCTGTGGTCTCCTGGGCTGTGGTAGCAGTGGCCTCATTGTGGAGGACCCTGGCAGCTGCACATCTCTGCGATGGAGCTCTACATCATTCCCTGCCGGGGTTATTTGACCTGTGTCACCTGAAGCATGGTGAAACCACGAAGCAGTTCCTTGTCTGGAAGCTTTGTTTTGGTGAGGCTGGTTTTGCTCCCATTGGCTTCCCTGTGCAGCCTGGCTGGCTGATGGACAGAGCAAGGTGGGAGCATGTCGCTCCTCCCATGGCAGCCAGCTGCAGCTTTGGCCCATGCACAGGAGGATTTTTCAAAGCTGTGACCACAGGGTGCAGCCATACAGGGCAGCTCATTTCCTCTGCCACTGCAATGTGTTCACCCCAGGCTAAGATGGATCCTGCAGGATTGACATGGTTTTCGTTTTTGGTTCTGGAATTGCCCAGCAGTCTTCCAAGCTTTGTCACCTACAAATATGATCAGAAATTTCCATTTACATCAAGATAAAGATGATGAAGGTAGAGCCAAGTCCAACACCTTGTACAGCCTCTTCAGCATATGCAAACATGTTCCGCAGTAACCACTCTGACTGCTTCTCCTTCACTGGGTTTTAGTTAATTTAAAACATGTGTAGCTGACATTTTATACTGCTCATTTTTAATGTCATGTAGGACTCAGCTGAGCACGAGTCTTACATCAATACAGCTATCTGCATCAATCAGACTTGTAATTTACCAAGAAAAGGAAATAAGTGTGAGTAGCAAGAACTATTTACGGTAAAACTCAGCTGGCCAATATTAATGATATCGGTATTCTTCAATGCTGTGTCAAAATTAAATTCCAAATGAATTTTCCGAGCATTTTTCCAGGATCAGTGCTATTTTTCTGGCTCGTTGTTTTGTGGATCATCTTACTCCTTTTTGAATATTGGCCTGACATTGCTATCTTTATAGTCTTCTTGAATGTCCTAATATTTCAAAATGTATTAAAATTTAACTTTATTGTCCCAGAAAGACCTTCAGGAAGAAGTTAAGGAGGATGATATACAACATCCACTAGATGTAAACAATTTATTCAAGCTCAGGTAGCTCATGCCAAAAATCCTTATTTGGTAATAAGGAAAATAATATTTCCACAGCAGCAAAATTAAAAATATTGATCATCTTGCTTTCTGTATTTATTAGCAATTATTCATTATCTGCTTTGTTGACTAGTTTGCACAGGATGTAGGAAATTATTTTGGTATTATCTAATTTAAACAACAGTAACAAAACCCCTCTCAGTAGTCCTTTGCCATGCCAAATGCAGTTTTCTTTACTGTTATGTAATTTGTTCTTGTTCTTGCCCTTCATTTTCTAATTTTGAATTCATACTGACCATTATTTCATCATGGCCTAGTGTTAGAGTCTTTGTAACTGCTCTTATCACTTCAGTGCTGACCTGGATGGAGAACACAGCAGTGGTTCTCCTCCTTCAATTTATGGAGTAGTATTCCTGAAACTGTTCTTCAAGAATTCCCAGTCACCTTTTACTTTTTAATTTTAAGCCTCCCATGTTTTCTACTGATAAATTTTCTAATCTAATCTAATTTCCCTTGGTTGATTCCCTTAGGAAGCATCAAATATTTACCTGGCTGGTTGGGCCTTCCATCTCTCCCCAGTTGTCTTTAGCCGATGAAGCAGCAGTCAAGTGTTTAGTAGATTTTTATTCCTTATGTTGAAATCTAATGTAGCATTTACCTATGTTGGAGCAAAACATTATCTATAGAAAAGCAATCTTTTTTTCCTTTTTAGAAAATTAAATGATATTTTTTTGGTTGTTGGATGGGACAGCCAGCATTTGCTCTCAACTTGAAGTTGTCCTGATAGTGCAAGTGTTAATTCATATAACTTGGAGATCAACACTTAAAGGTTAATTAATTTTTTTTCTTTACTGGTCTGTAATAAAATCTCATGAAGAATCTTTTAACTTGTTACTTCAGACACTAATTTACATGAATTTGTGGCCCTGTTCTGAATTATTGCTGGACATATGATAGATGATGGGATTTTAATGTGAACTCTCTTTCTGGGCCTTCTTGCCTACTCAGTACTTTCTCATTCTTAATGTTCTAAAATGGTGTAATTGTCTGTAGATTTCAGTAATGACAATTATATCAAGATTCTTATTACCAGTAAAAGCAGTCCACATCCTTTTTGCTGTTATCTGGTCTCCTAGTACTTTGAAACGAGCAAAGAAAAAGAAAAATCTTACTCTCATTCTTTGTCAAATGGTCCTTAATTACTTCTGACATGGTGCATTTGTGCTCTATTTCCCTCTTTGGAATTGTTTCACTTGTGTTCTTGGTTTAATGTCTTTCTAATTGTTCTACTTATTTCTCAGCCAAGATCATTATCTCACCTCTCTGTGAAGTGTAGGTTGTTGACTGAGAAAATCCTCTAGAATGGGCCAGTGTTCCCTAAACCCAAGTTTAGCAAAACTCAGTTTTGCTCTCATGTGGTTGGCTGTTCACTTCTGGTATTTTCTGAACAATGTCTTCTCCTGCTTGTAAGACTGAAGGGATCCCTGGGATGAGCACATGGACTTTTCTTTCAATCAACTCCCCATGCATGTCCTCATGTCCCATTATTAGTGAATTTCTGTCTAATTTCACAAGCTTATCCAACACTGAAGGAAAACGTTGGGTTGTCCTCACCTTCTGTGTTAAGATGTAACAGAAATGCAAGTGCCTCTGTA